CACTCCAGTCTGGGCGACAGAGTGAGACTCCAACTCAAAAAAATATATATATATATATTAGCCTCCAGAGCCAGGCTCGGTGGCTCAGCCTGTAATCCCACGCTTTGGGAGGCTGAGGTGAGTGAATTGCCTGACCTCGTGAGTTCAAGACCTGCCTGGGCAACTTGGTGAGATCTCATCTCTACAATAAATCAAAAAAATTAACCTGGTATGGTAGCGCACGCCTGTAGTTCCAGCTACTTGGAAGGCTGAGGTGGAAGGATCACCGGAGCCCAGCAGGTCGAGGCTCCAGTGGCTGGGAGTAGCCACTGCATTCCAGTCTGGGTGACAGAGTGAGACTACAACTCAAAAAAAATTAAATAAATATTAACCTACAAATGACAGAGCCTTTCTGATGACTACATGGTTCTCAAACATTAATTATATGACTCCTAATTTAAGTAGAATTGAAATTTGATACAGTTTTCTTAAATGTCAACTTCCGCAACTGATTTGCAGGAGAATGCCATTAATGTACATACAGGCCTAGAAGTCCCATATTGCATAAAGAGAAAGAATAACTTAATTATAATAATTATACTTATATGGCCTTGTATTTATACAGCCCTTCACAAAAGATTCCTCAAAGTACTTTCTTGTCTACTTCAGTACCTCAAGAACCTGTCAGATAACGTCATGAAACTGTTAAACCCTGGTGGCAGCCTGAGCTGATACCGTGTCCCCTGGCCTTCCTGCTGCTGGCCATGCTCTGATGACTTCAGGTCCCAGAACATCTTGAGTCTGGGATGTTGGCGGCCTTTCTCTGAGTAGCCTTGAGCTCCTACCTTGTATTTCAAACAAAGGACCCCTTTGCCATCCTTTACTGTGTGTGTTGTTTTGCTTCCTAATAGTCGAATTGGCTGTTACGTGACCATCTTCCAAAACATTTCCAACTTGAGGGATGTCTTCTACAGGGAAATGAGCAAGGTAAGAAACATCTGGCCAACTGAGACTCCTGGGTGTGTTTTTCTACTAAGTAGGCAGGTAGTCATGATTTGCATGATTTCTTTAAATATTCATATTGGCACCACAGATTTTGACTTTTATCTCAGGATGAAATAATAACACTTGGTTGCCTACTTAACTATATGGAAGCACTTACATACATTGTCAGGGACCTTTTCCATCTCCCTAAACAACTGAATAAGCACATCCAAACTTGAGCTTCAGCATGAATCTAGGGGATTGGGCCTCTGGAAGGAACAATTGAAATACAGAACTACGTTGTGAAGTTTAGAGGGAAATTACGCATAAGGCCTTTTTTCAGGTAGCTGGTCTTGAATGTGACTAATCTTGTCAGTGTCAGGCAGCCATATAACATAACTTTATGGGATCTTTCCTAGTCCTGGGAGTCTGGAGATTCTTTGCTGCTATATGTGATAAATTTGACATAATATAATATTAATTCTCTTCACACATTAGCCACACGTATTACTCTCCACAGTTTCTTTGGCTAAGTACGACTTGCCTAGTTAATATTAAATGAGTTTCATTCCCTGGATCACCTTTGAGAAGCTAGAACCTCAAATCAAACATCAGTTATGGACCCTGCCTTTGAGATCAATGTACACACAGGCCTAGAAGTCCCATATTGCATAAAGAGAAAGAATAACTACTTATTATAATAATTATAATTATATGGCCTTGTATTTATAGAGCCCTTCAAAAGGGGCTGCCAGTCTGATAGAAGAGGCAGAACCTACACAGAGTGACAAGGAAGGGCAGGTGGCAGGACGGGACCCTGGACCCTAGTGCTAGACATGTGGGAGGAATTCTAGATAAGAAATGGAAGGGTGAGGCTTTATTTTGGGGAACTGTTTGAAGGAGAGAGGAGAAGGGACATGCTGGTCTTGGGTTCCCATTTGGCAAGCCTCCCTCTTTTTCGCTGACTCCAGCTGAACCACAACCTCTACGATGTGATGAGCAAACTGGAGAAACAACATTCCAACAAAGTCTTTGTGGTGAAGGGCCTATCAAGGTGAGCAATTTCTGAGATTCTTGTCTGCTTGTCCTGATGGGGATGGACTCAGCATCTCTGCCTACAGTTCCAAATCCTGACCTTCCCCTAGGTTCACGTGTGTGTTGTTTGTACTGTGCCCCCTATATAAGTTTGTTTTCGCTTCATTAAATATTTTAGACATGACCAAAGAATAATACAAGCCAGGCAAGGTGGCTCACGCCTGTAATCCCAGCATTTTGGGGAGGTAGAGGCGAGAGAATTGCCTGGGCCCAGAGGTTCAAGACCAGCCTGGGCAACTTGGTGAGACTTTGTCTCCACAGTAAATAAAAAAATTAGCCAGGCACGGTAGCAGTAGTTCCAGCTACTTGGAAGGTTGAGGCGGAAGGATCTCCTGAGCCCGGCAGGTCGGGGTTGCCGTGACTGGAAATGTGCCATTGTACTCCAGCCTGGGCGACAGAGTGAGACTCTCAACTAAAAAAAAAAAAAAAAACAGAATAATACAACAAATACCCATATACCTACCACCAAGTTTAAGAAATCAACCAACATAAATGTATCTGAAGTCCCCAATGTCCCTTCCCCACTCTTTCCTGTTCCTGCCCCCACTGAAGGTAACCATTATGGTACATTTCATATTTATGATGCCCAGGTGTGTCTTTTTACTTTTACTTCATACATACATGCACACATAAAATATTGTTTTGCATGTTTTTAAATACTATTTCAATGAACTTATATGTATTCTGTACCTTCTCTTGTTCTTCTAGCATTGTTTGTAGGATTTATCCTTATTGCTACATGTTGCTAGCCTTGTTCTTTATTTTCCATAACTGTTATGGATGCTATTGAATGCCTAGCTCGTGATTTATTTGAGGGGAAACCAAAAAAGCCCCAGAATTTATTTATGAAAAATTGTATATTCTTACACGTTCAAACTTCAGTCACCCTCAAAGTACTTTGTTTGATTTATCAGTATACCTAACCTATTGAGACGCTTTTTCCATTGCTCAAAACAGCTTTCAGACTCATCACTTTTGATGCCTTTTAGTGCCTGTGCCGTTTTTGTTTCATCTCTTCCAAGTGGGCAAAACGGTTCCCTTTGAGGACTTTTTTCATCAGGGAAACAACAAAAAAAAGTTCACCCGGGGCAAGATTGGGTGAACAGGGAGGGTGAGGCACTAGAGTCAGGCCGTTTTTGGTCAAAAACTGCTGAACACTCAGCATGGTTTGGCAGGTACATTGTCATGGTGGAAAAACCAGCCACCTGTTTACCACAATTGGGAATGTTTCTTCTGCAAATAGTGATGCAACCGTCTCAAAACTTTCAGATAAAACCTTTGGTTGGCCCTTTGATCCAGAGGAAAGAATTCTGAGTGTATTAACAGGGGCCACTTGCCAAAGTATAATGTATTTATCCTCCTGCTGATTTAGGGCATTTGGATTGATTTCCAGTTTTTTGCTATTACAGATAATGTTGCAATGATTGATGATAGTCAAGTCATTGAATACAAATGTAAAATACAAAAAAATTTTTCCTTGACTATTATCAATAATTTCTTTAGGGCCTATACTTAGAGTGGAATTGTTGAACCATAAGGTCTGTCACTAGGGCGTCTTCAGCATTACTAGATATTATCAAATTGCTCTCCTAAGTGATTATTCCAGCTTACAGCCTATTAGCAGTGAATAAGAGCCTCCATGACTCCACATTCCTTCTATAAAAATTTTTTTTAATTTCTTTTTTTTTTTTTGAGTTGGAGTCTCACTCAGTCACCCAGACTGGAGTGCAGTGGCCGCTCCTGGCCACCGCAGCCTCGACCTGCTGGGCTCCGGCGATCCTTCCGCCTCAGCCTTCCGGAAGTAGCCGGAATTACAGACACACGCTACCACGCCCAGCTGATTTTTTTTTGATTTATTGTAGAGATGAGGTCTCGCCAAGTTGCCCAGGCGGGTCTCGAACCCGTGGGCTCAGGCAATCCACTCACCTTAGCCTCCCAAAGGCGCGGGATTACAGGCTGAGCCACCGAGCCCGGCTAATTTCTTTTTTTTTTAATTGATGTCTTACTCTGTTGCCCAGTCTGGGTGCCGTGGCACACTAATGGCCACCACAACCTTGACCTGCTGGGCTCAGGCAATCCTTCCGCCTCAGCCTTCCAAGTAGCTGGAACTACAGGCACACACTACCATGCCCGGCTAATTTTTTTAAAAATTTATTGTAGAGATGAGTTTTCGCTAAGTTGCCCAGGCGGATCTCGAACCCACAGGCTCAGGTAATCCACTCACCTCAGCCTCCCAAAGGCGCGGGATTACAGGCTGAGCCACTGAGCCCGGCTT